CCTTTATTTACCCCCAGCCTCTTATTCTCTCCATGGAAACAGAAACAGAATTAAAATGAACTTAAAAAGGTTTTAATGTTCGAACTGAAGAACTGAAGTTAAAATCTAAAAACAGAGAAACAGAGAATTAAAGAAATCATCAATAAAATCAAATAAAAACAGTCAAAGACACTAAAATAAAAGAGGATCCTGTCATTAAAACTAGAGATAAATGTTAAAACACTGAAAGTTAATGAGATTCAATTCAGTTAAAAGACTAAAAAGGTTTTCAGTTTAGTTTTAAAGTCTTCAGGTCAGCTGATCCACAGACGGGCCGTAAGGGATAAAAACATGTTTCAACTTTAGGTCATAATAATAATAATAATAATAATAATAATAATAATGATAATAATGATGATAATAATAATAATAATAATAATAATAATAATAATAATAATAATAATAATAATAATAATAACTTTATTTGTTATTAATTATAATAATAACTTTATTTTTACAGCACTTTTAAAAAACAGTTTTGACATAAAGACATAAAGCTCTTAGAAAAAGACAAAAACAAAAAACTTAAAGGAACATTTTCATGTTTTAATGAACAAAATAAGAACATGAAACAAAAACTGAGACCATGAGACCGAAATACAAACAGGAAATAGAAAAATGTCCCTTTAAAGGGGGTCGAGAGTGGAAACAGGATAGTAAATAAAAAAGACAAAATCAATAATGATAATAAAATAATAACAGGTCATACTGATAATAACAGTGATGATAAAATAGAGCAACAGAGAGAAAATAAGAAAAGAGTAAAAGTTTAAGAAAAGGTGAAACGACAGAAAAGCTGAAATAAGAGAAAAAAGATAAAAGTCGTAAATCAAGTCTGTAAAAGTGAGTTTTTAACTTAAAGAAGCGTCTGTCTCTGCTGTTCTCCTTCTCTCCTCTGAAGGTCGTTCCAAAGTCGAGGAGCTCTGATGGACAAAGATCGATCAGCTTTAGAGACTTTGGAACGACCAGGAGGACTTCAGAGGATCTGAGAGTTTGACTCATGAGGGAGTCAAAACTCTGAGATGGAGCTCTGACAGAGTCCTGAAGAGCTTTAAAGTGATCAATAAAATCTGAAAATCAATCCTAAAACTGACAGGAAGTCAGTGAGGGGAGGATCAACCTGAGAACTTCCTGAAGGTTCTACCAGACTCCTGAAGAGGATCAGTGAAGGTCGAACCTGAGAGAGGAGCTTCAGGAGGTCACTGTGGACTCTGTGGGGGGTCTTCTCTAACCTCTGACTCTCTTCTTCTTCTTCTTCTCCTTACAGCTCAGACTTTCACCTTAGTGACCAGCGACACGTGAGCGCCGCCGGCCCGGACGTCGGCCCCGGCGCCCTGTAAAAGCCCAAATGTAGCCAGCCTGCACCGAGCATGCTCCATGGCTTCCTGCGTTTACAACAGAACTACTTTGATACTACTGTTACCATGCCCACGAGGAGACTGAGACTGAGAGGGTGACGGATCACTGAGACGGGCCGCCATCACACCGCCAGGCTGATGTACTGTCCCTTTAGCTCCTGTTAGATCTGTCCATCCTGTGTGTTCCTGAGCAGAACGCCGACCTGTGGACTCCTCCTGGTCCCCCTCCTGGTCCCCCACGGCTCTGCTCAGACTGTGAAATGGTTTCAAGTTCCTTTATTTAGACGTCATGGACGCCGACGCGCTCAGAAACCCGCTTTCATAGCCCAGGTCTGTGGGTCAGGAGGAGGTTTATTCCTGTTTCCGTCACTCCTGGGTCGGTTTTTAAAGAAATCGTGTTTTTAGAGTTTTTATCATCTGTCAATCAAACAGAAAATTCACCGTACGCCGAGTGAGCGCCGAACATCTGGTCTCTATGACTGTCAGAAACATGGCAGTCTTTAAGTTTATCACCTCTGGTGGACACTCGAGGAACTGCAGTTTTTCTGCATCGTTCTTATCTCTGAAGTCCAGAAGTTTCTGCCTGATTTAGCGCCTCGTTTCCTTTCATGGCTGACGAACGTAGATCTATAAAAGAGTAGATGACACCTCTTCAGCGAATGTTTCTTTACAGATAAACGTAAACCTGAAAACTCGATGACGTGTAAATCTGAGCGCCATCTTTGACCGACAGAGACGATGAAACGTGTCGACGTCTCGGCAGAAAAGCTTTTTCTCTCAGTAAAATAAACTCTGTTTTAATCAACAAACTCTCGACAATCAACGCGGAGGAAACAGCCTGTCAGCTCGTCAGCAGCCTGTAGGGGAAGGTCCCGCCTCCTTTGCCTCTGATTGGCTGTGAAACGTCGTCACACGCTCAAGCCGAGCGCGGGCTGTCGGCTCTGAACATCGAACAGAACATTATCACACTTCTGAATCTCCAAACCCGACAGACGATGACGTTTCACAGCCATGAGGAATAACCAATCAGAGCCCAGCACTTCTAGCCAATCAGAGGCGAAGGAGGCGGGACCTTCCCCTACCATCCTTCAAAAAAACTCCTGTGCCTGTTGGCTGAGCGAGCACGTTTTCAGACATCAACCTTTGAACCCTGTGAGCACCCGTCAGCTCGTGGTCATTTCCTGTGTCTCTGATCTTCGTTTTCAAACCTCTGTCTCCTCAGTCGCCCTAAAGGTCGTTTCCATGTGAAGTAACGGTCCAATCACAACAAAGTGTCCAGATCCAGGGGCTGCAGCTTTTGAAGGACCCAGACTCGGTGGTCTTTGTAGACTGGTCAGACCAACAAAACGACTCCGTCTGTCCTGAGGTCGTGTGTCTGTGTCGCCGCCCTGGTGGCTGCTGTTGTGGCGCAACAACAAGCGACTTCTGGGCTGATTACCGTATTTTTAGCACTGTAAGGCGCACCATCAATGAACGCGTCTACTCGTTTCTATATACAGACATAAGGCGCCTCAGATTATAAAACGTATTAAACCAAACAAACAGAAAAGTCAAACTTTATTTACCTCAGTCAATAACTCGGCGAGGCTACGGGAGCTGCAGCGCTCCGACAAACCAAAAGGATTTGAAGTGCGCCTTATAGTGCGAAAAATACAGTCCAGCACGGGTTAATCTGTGCTGAATTTATCCGCCATGCTCCGGCGTCCAGAAAAAATAGAACTCTTGTGATCAGCTGAGGAGTCCGGCGATCCGCAGAGGAACGGAAAGAAGTCGGTGTAAATTGACACGTTAACTTGAATGGTTACGATCAGCTACGATCGGAGGATACGACCTTTTAGGAGACGATCAGGATGAAGGTGGAGATCGGGGGTTAGACCCACGTATCGACCTCATTCTGAGGAGTCTTTGACTCAGCACGGCGATGCATTCGGTCTGCAGATATGGCCCTCGAAGGGCGCAGCCCCTGGATTGGGACACGGCTCCCATAAGTGAAGCCTGAACAGGCTGACAGATGTGGAGTTTGTGGAGTTTGTTGAGTTTGTTGAGTTTGTGGAGTTTGTTGAGTTTGTTGAGTTTGTTGGAGTTTGTTGAGTTTGTGGAGTTTGTTGAGTTTGTTGAGTTTGTTGAGTTTGTTGGAGTTTGTGGAGTTTGTATCCAGAGCGCCATCATGTCATGAAAATCGATCCGATCTTCTGGCTTCTTAAGTCGTCTTCACAGTCATCTCCGTCTCTCTGTGCTCTAAATACTTCATACTTGAACCATTTCCCAGTCCGTGTGCACGTCGTTTTGTGGGGCGGATGGAGCTCCATAGAGATGTGTTTCTGAAAACTCACACATAAGTATACACAAGTTTTTGATAAGTATTCAAGTCATTTTAAGGTTCTAGTTATTCTACTGATGTGGAGGAGGGATATGAGCTGTTGGTGGAGGGGAGTGTACAGCTGTATATAGGAGCTGATGGGCTAAGCACCAAATCCTGACTCACACTCACTCACACACACACATGCAGTGCTTTATTTGAACCCCAAAGTGACCGCCGATGCTCTTGGGTTTGAGTTGGATTCTGTGTGCTGGTTTGAGAGCGGAGGCTCCCTTATCACTCTCTTATCCTCTGTTACTTTTGCACCTGCAACATTACCGATGGTCCTTCATTGGATATACATATATAAATATATAAAAAGTATATATATGAACATAAAGCTTATTTTTACTTCAACAAGGTGCCACTTCATGCTGCTGTTTTCTCTTGTTTTGGACGGACAGACGGACAGACAGGACTCAGTATTTTGCAGAGGTTGTTGTGAGTATTTATGTTGAGCAGACACACTCAGTTTGTGAACGTTTGTGTCTCTTTGGTTTACATGACGGTCGAGGAGCCGAGAGCGCGACACCGATTAGACTTTATTTTGCGTTTGACTCTGTCCTATGTGGTGAAGAATCAGAGAATAGCACACGTACGAAGCAATAAGTAGGACTTTGGAGCTCCAGGACATAAAAGAGATTTAAAAGAGATGTATAAACTGTAAAAAAAATCCAATAAATAAATACAAGTTCAAACAAGATTGCATAATTTATGTACACAAAGAAAAGAAGAGCGAATATTATAACTATCAGAGGTTATTATTAATATTATTAGGGTCAATATGCAAAAAGTTCATACCCCATCTGTTTTATATCATGTGAAATAAATGTTGATGTTCTTAAAACATGTTTGTTGGTTGTTTTTCTTAGTTGTGTTCGTAATTATGTGATAATCAATAGGTAGACTTATCAGCATCGAGGTGTACAGACATAAGCTAGAATTATTATTATTATTATTATTACTTTGTTTTATTAATATAAACGTCCATCACAGGTTTACAACACTGAACTGGCTAACAGGACGAGGACTGTTTAAACTGCTGTGTGTGTGTGTGTGTGTGTGTGTGTGTGTGTGTGGGATTAAAATTGAATCTTACTTGAATTTTGGTTTTTAATTTTAATTTTTTAATTTAATTTTTTATTTTTAATCTGTTTTTTTCTCTGACCTCATGAAGCTCCATAATAATAATAATAATAATATTGATAATAAAATAGTCACAATAATAATACAAATAATAATAATTATTATTATTATTATAACTTTATTTCTACAGCACTTTTAAAAACAGAAGTTGATAAAGTGACATTCAGTCATAGAGTACATGTGAAAAGAGATTTTTAAAAAAGACTCAGTTAAACAGAATTAAAGGAACATTTTCATAAGGAACCCGGATAAACCCCGTTTCTGAGTCCAGTCTTCGTGGTTCTGGTTCGGATAGTTAGGTGAACAAGCTGTTGGTCCAGAGTTTCCCCTCTTTGTCCGGTGTTGAAAGTTTGATGGAGACCGAGCCCACTCCTCTCCACCTGAACAAAGGGAGCAGCCACACAGGCAGCAGGCCTACTCTCAGAGCAACAAGTCGGTCTGAGGTCTGAGCTCGGTTCACGGGATCCACTCAGAAAGTGGATGGTTCTGAATGAGACCTGCTCCCGAACATCCACGGAGGCGAACACGGCCCGACAGGCGCGCTCCTGCGGGCACAATACTGCACCTTGCTGGGATAAAAACGTGCCTTTTCAGCACTTTTTCACATGGATCATTTTTCTGTTTGTTCGAACACGTGGAGCTGAGAGGCCACAATGCTGGAGATCGTCTATACTGGGGAAGATGGATCACTCCTTAAGGTAAAAGGTCGGAGCTGCGCCCCCTAGTGGAGATCTTTGACTTCCATTTTTCAGGTTTAGTCTTCTCTATAGAGAGGAGGATAAAAACGGTTTTGTTATATGATAGTAAAAGAAACTTTAAAGTAAAAATAATAAAATAAAAACTATACTACCACTGCAATAATTTTAACAATTGTAATTATTATTACTTTTGTACAGTTTATTGAATATTTTTAACTTGTTCAAATGTCAAGTGGCATGAAAGGTTTTTGAAAGTCTTGTATTTTTTTTCCCCTCATATTTTTCTTTAATAATTTTCATTTTGTTGTTCAGTGAAAGTCGTTTGTGTTTGTGGAAACTTCGCTCATGTATCCTCACAAGAATTCTGTGAAACTGAGGCTTTAACATCTTCAGGGAAAGATCATTTCTAAACAGTAATCTTCGTCGACATGTAAACAACAGTCGGTACCAGTGTACCGTGTTCGCCTGCTTTGGGCCCTGTAGCCAGTAGGGGGCCCTGAGGAGTAGTCAAAAAAATAATGAAATTTATATATTTTTTTATTTTTGCATGTATGAGTGATACTTTCTGTCTGATCAAATAAATAATTATTGTAAAAATAAAATAAAGTAAAAACATGTAAGTGCTGCTGCTGATGTAGGCCGATGATTCTTACTGCCAATATGTCAAAGCTCCGCCCACCGCCATGTTCCTCCTGCTGTGAAAATGGTCACTGAGCAGGTAACAATGTCACAGAAAAAGGACATATCCTCCAGGAGCAGAGGAGGAAGAGGAGAAGATAAAGGTCTGTTTGTATGTCAGGGAGAATGTTAATCAAATAGATTTGTGAAGGTGTGTGACTGATCAACAATCAATATTATTGGCAGAAATAGAGGGCTTCAAAATCAAACTTTGCTGAGGGCCTCGTTGAGGCTTGTGCCGGCTCTGATTCTGAGTTTTGAGTCGTGAGTGGATCATCTTCTTAAATAAACCATCTTTGAACATGCGGAGCTCGACGTCACGCGAACCCCCCGCTGTGTTTTACGCTTGAAGCGGAGAGTGTGAGTGGAGGAAGAAGGGCAGCAGCGGCAGCAGCAGCAGCAGCAGCAGCTCAGGGCAACTTTTCCACTGGAACTAACCCCCAAACAGCCTCACCGCGGCCAGAAATGCCGCAAATAACGAGCGGAGCGGCCGGACAAGACTCCCAACCGACGGCCGATCAGAACGACACCGGGGAAAGAGCAGAAACCGGCTCAGAGGGACAGGCCGTTCCGGACCCCAAACGGGAACCGGGCGACAACAACGAGAAGAGAGCAGGAATGGACGTGAAGAGTGGTCGCGGTGCTGCGGCGGAGGACAGCGGCGAGAGTCCGTCTCCTGTCTCCGACACCGACAAAGAACGAGCGTTAGAGACCGAAAACACGGACAAAGATGCGGGGGAACCCGACTGCGAACTCTCTGAACCGGGGAAAAGTCCCGTACAGGGGAGTTTGGCGAGTAGCACCGATTCCGCACAAGAGGGCTCCCGGGTGCTGAAACAAGAACAAAGAGAGGGAGGAGAGAGCGGGTCCTCCCCACCGCCCGCAGACCGCACAAAGACCGCGGAGAGAGCCGAACACGGGACCAAGAGACGGGCCAGCGTGGAGCTGACCTCGTCGGATGGAGAGCCGCTCAGCCGGATGGACTCCGAGGACAGGTCTGTAGGGGGTGTGGAGAGGCCTGCTGGTTCCGACAGAGGTGCTGAGGGGTCAAAGATAGAACCCAGGTCCACAGTTAGACAGTATCTGATCAGAACAGGTTACCGGAACATGTTCGATTCTCTCGACGCTTCACGACCGCAGAACGTCCGCGTGAGTACCGCTCCGTGAAAAAGCTCCGGGTGTTTATCCGGGGAGTTTCTCCGCGCTTTGACCGGTTAATAGT